CTCCTCCTCGTTCTCCTCCTTCTCCTCCTCGCTTCCTCCTCCTCCTCCTTCTCGCTTCCTCCTCCTCCTCGTTTCCTTCCTTTCCTTTCCTCCATCAGGAAGGATGGCGCGCCTTGCGGGCAGCTGCTGCTCCCTTTTCGCTGTCTCGCTGTCGGCCAGATCAGGCCGTCCTTGCAGCGGCTGCCGCTGGTATAGGCGCTTCGCGCGCATCCGAGAGCCAAGCACTGCTGCAAGGCACTGCAGACCTCTGGCGCTCGCATCGGCTCTTGTCTTGCCTTGTCATAGCGCCAACATCTCAGAGCGGATTTCGTTCGGAAAACGATAGGATGGGCCCGGAGTGTCCTGGATAATTTCGTTCCGGATTTCGAGGTGAATTTCGTGCGGGTGTTTTTGGCCAGGAACGAAGACCGAAACAATTCCGCGCGAAAATCACTCCGTTTTTCGCTCGCAGCGTCGGGGTTTAGCATTGACAGAACTCCACGCAGAAATCCGCTGCAGCAGGTCTGCAAGGCCGGTGCAATGAGTCTTGTCCTCCTCCTTTCTCTGGGTGCCCCCACACCGCTCTCTCTGGTGTCGCTGGCCCCCGTCTGCTCGCCTTCCTTCCCCTGACCCTCTCCTCCTCTCCTCTCCTGCACACACCCGCAAGCCTCGCCCCCCCCCCCCCCCCCCCCCCCCAAAAGGCCCGATGCGGGGTGACAGGGGAGACCTCCACGACACCCCCGAGAAAGCCCCCCAGACGCCAAAACGAGGCCGCAGAAAGCTCGTCTCCCTGTTCTCGCTTCTCCTCTTCCTCTGCCTCCGGGAGCCTCCACCCCCTCTCTCTGGTACCGGCCTCCCTCTCCTTCGTCTCGCGTCGCCGGGCGCTCCCCAGTGCGGGCGACCATGGGCCCTGTGCTCTCGCTTGTCTCGCGGGTGGACAGAGCCCTCACCCTGACGCGTCGATTCGTGCATTGTCCGTGTTCGGTCCTCGAGAGGGTGCCGCGGCCGTCATTTTCCAGGCTTGCGCCCGCCATGTTTGGGCCCGAGGTCGTTTTCACTATACCACGTGTTGCTAAAGGGGCGTCTGTCCATCCCCGATTATCTTGTCCTCGTCCGTATGGATCGACCGCCCGCTTTCTTTCCTCGCTCCTTCTGCTGCTCGCTTCAGCTCGCACCCCTTTGGCCACTCACGCAGTCTCTTTGCACTGCCCCCCGTATCATACGGGTGTCTTTCGGGTTCGCCTTGCTCCCGCCTGTTACGATCGCATCGCGCAGAGGACATCTTGTCATCGAAGGCGCCTGCGGCGAATCACGCGCTCGGGGCCCGCGCTTCGACCAGCAGGCGGCGGATGTTCCACGGGTGCGCGCGTGTCTCTTCCACGATGCAGGATCCTCTGCGTGCCAGAAGGTGCTGTGCATCAAGTGTTAAGTCGGGCCCGTCCCCCTACAGGGGGATTTTCGACGACACAAAAAAGAAATACCCCGACAATAGTCAACAAATAGTCAAAAAAATAGTCCAAGAATAGTCTGGGGACTATTTTTGAAGATTTGTTGACCTTTTTGGTGCATTTTTGGGGTATTGGGGGGACACGCCCGACATAAATCAAGTGCCTTTCGCTCCCTCCGAGAGGCCCCCTCAGGCCGAGAAGCGCCCCCGGGGGCAGCTTCGACGGCCCCTGCGGGCCTCGGGCCATGCCCCCTTCATACGGCCCAGCGGAGCTCCAAGACGACCGAAGAGGCGCCCCAGCGAGCCCGAGACTGTCTCGAGGCGGCCCAAGTGCCGCCCACAAGGCGGCCCAAGGCGGCCCCAAGAGGGCCAACAGCAGCCGAACTAGCTCGTGCCCCCTTTGTTTTTCAAGGGCTTGGGCGGTCTCGCCTCTTCAGCCTTCGACGCTCCCAGGCGGCCAAAGAGGCACCACATGTCACCCTAAGACGGGCCAGCATGCTCCGAAGAGGGCCCCCAGGCGGCCCAAGAGGCCCCACGACGGCCCGAAAGGCGCCCAAGACGGCCCAAGGGGGCTCCAACACGGCCTGAAGACGGGAAACTTCAACCTACATTCTGCGCCCTCCGCTCCGAGATGATCCCCGAGACCGCCAGCAAGCCCCAAGGAGGCCCCCCTAGAAGCCCCAGGAGGCCCCCAATATTCCCAAATCAGACCCCAAGAGGGCCCCGAGAGACCCCACGATGTTCCACAAGCTACATCGAAGAGCTTTCCGAGGGAAGATCTCCTAGGGAGCTTTGTGACCACGACGGCCACCCAAGAGAGCCCCATGCGCGACCCGAGATGATAGCACGCCGAGGCCATTGAGACATGCGTGCGCTGGCCTCTTCTCATGTCTCCTTACTCGCTCCCTGCTCCTCGCTCCGCGCTCCTCGTTTCTCCCCGCTCTCTCCTCGCCCCTCGCCTCCCTCTCCTCGCTCCTGGCTCCTCTCTTCTCGCACCCCCCTCGCTCACTCCACCTCTGCCCTGGCCCCTCGCCTACTCCTCCTGCCTGCTGGCACCTGCCTCCTCTCGTTCTCTGTGGCTCTCCCTCGCCTCTCGTCGCCTCTCTCCCTCCTCGGTCGTCGCTCCTCCCTTTCTCGCTCCGTGATCCTTGGCTGATGGCTCCTCGCTTCCCCCACTAGGAGGAGGAGGAGGAGGAGGAGGAGGAGGAGGAGGAGGAGGAGGAGGAGGAGGAGCTTCTCCCCTCGGCCCTGACTCCTCGCTCCTCGCTCCACTCACGAGCTGCAGGTTGCGTCGTCCAGCGAGAGCACCAAGGAGCAGCATTTCGCAGCCTCAAGCAGCAACAGCGAACAACAACAGTCCGCAGCAGGCAACGGCAGTACGGCAAATGTACACAGCTGTAATAACATGCCGCAGGCAGCAGCAGCAGCAAGTCTGCAGCTGCAGGCAGCAACAGCAGATCGAAGTTCGGGCCCAGCGTCATCACGAATGCCTTTCGGCAACATCTCTGCCCTGGTCCAACGTGCCATTCGGACGGAATTCGTGGCCTGCAGGCCACGGGTCAGCCCTAGTCTCTACTACATTGCAGGGCCCAGTGCGTGCCAGAAGGGCGCAGGCCCCAATGCACCGAAACCGCCCCGGGCTGGCCCCGGGCCGCCCAGGGAGGCCCCAAGACACGTCAAGAGGGCCCCAAAAATCCCCCAAGACACGCCAAGAGGGCCCCAAAAATCCCCCAAGACGGCCTCGGAGGGCCCTGGCACGCCCCAAGATGGGCTCAAGACGCCCGAGATTGGCCCAAGACGGCTCCACAGGCCTCCAAGACGCCCCCAGAGGCCTCCCAAGAGGCCTCCCAAGAGGGCCCCGATCAGCAAAAAACGTCGATTTCCACTGTGTTTTCCGATGGTTTCGGCCTTCTCGCCTCTTCGCCTTCCCGACGCTCCAAGACGACCCAAGAAGTCCCCCCGACCGCTCCAAGACGGCCGAAGAGGACCCCAAGAGAGCCCCAAGACGGGCCAGGAGGGCCCCAAGACGGTCCCAAGACGCCCAAGGACGGCCCCAGGACGGCCCAGGAGGCGCCCCAGACGGCCCAAGAGGCACCCAAGACGGCCCCAGGAGCGGCCCAAGACGGCCCAAGACAGCCCAAGAGGCGCCGAGGCGGGCCTCAGACGGCCCCAAGACGGCCCAAGAGGCACCCAAGACGGCCCGAGAGGGCCCTAAGAGCCCCCCCGGGAGGCCCAAAAGAAAGCCGAAGAGGCTCCGAAACGGCCCCCACGAAGCCTTCATTGGCTTCAGAATTCCCTCCAGGAGCGGGGGAGCGGACGAGAGGCGACAGGCATATCGCAGGCAAAAACGCCCGCGCTTGCCCAGAGACCCCTCGCCACGTCGAGCTGATGTCGTGGACGGAGTCCACAGGTCTGCCCTAGTCTCTACTACATTGCAGGGCCCAGTGCGTGCCAGAATGGCGCAGGCCCCAATGCACCGAAACCGCCCCGGGCTGGCCCCGGGCCGCCCGGGCCGCCCAGGCAGGCTCCAGGACATGTCGAGAGGGCCCCCAGAAGCCCCCAAGACGGCCCCGGAGAGCCCCGGCACGCTTAAAGATGGGCCCAAGACGCCCGAGATTCGCCCCAGACGGCCCAAGAGGCGTCCAAGACGCCCGAAGAGGTCTCCCAAGAGGCCTCCCAAGAGGGCCCCGAGCGACAGAAATCGTCGATTTCTATTGTGTTTTTCGATGTTTTCGGCCTCCTCGCCTCTTCGGCTTCCCGACGCTCCAAGACGGCCCAAGAAGTCCCCCCGACCGCTCCAAGACGGCCGAAGAGGACCCCAAGAGAGCCCCAAGACGGGCCAGGAGGGCCCCAAGACGGTCCCAAGACGCCCCAGGACTGCCCCAGGACGGCCCAGGAGGCGCCCAAGACGGCCCAAGAGGCACCCAAGACGGCCCCAGGAGCGGCCCAAGACGGCCCAAGACAGCCCAAGAGGCGCCAAGGCGGGCCTCAGACGGCCCCAAGACGGCCCAAGAGGCACCCAAGACGGCCCGAGAGGGCCCTAAGAGCCCCCCCGGGAGGCCCAAAAGAAGGCCGAAGAGGCTCCGAAACGGCCCCTACGAAGCCTTCAGTGGCTTCAGAATTCCCTCCAGGAGCGGGGGAGCGGACGAGAGGCGACAGGCATATCGCAGGCAAAAACGCCCCAAGAGATCCCCAAACGGCCCCCACGAAGCCCTAAGTGGCCTCAGAATTGCTTCCAGGAGGGGGGGAGCGGACGAGAGGCGACCGGCATATCGAAGGCACACAAGAACAATGATTGCCTTTCGGCCCTGCAGCCGCACCCCCCCGCGCTTGCCCAGACACCCCTCGCCACGTCGAGCTGATGTCGTGGACGGAGTCCACAGGTCTGCCCTAGTCAGCTACAGCGCTGGGATCAGCGCGTGCGAGAAGGGCGAGCAGTGGCAGCGAGCTCTGGCGCTGCTGAGTGAGATGCGGGAGGCGAAGCTGGAGCCCGACGGCATCTCCTCCACTATGCAGCGCCTCCTGCGTACCCAAAGGGCCCGTGTCTTGCTGGGGGGTTCCCGGAGTTTCCTGAGCTCCTGCATACCCCTGCAGTCAGACAGGAACGGCCTGGACGCTCCAAGACGGCCCAAGAGGACCCCAAGACGTTTCAAGGTGGTCCGAGGCGCCTCCAGGCGGTCCAAGAGGTCGCCAACTTGGCATGCAGACGGCGCAGCGGCGCCCCAGGACGGCCCAAGTGGGTTGCAAGAGGCACCTTGAGAAGAGCCCCGAGAGGCCAATGTTGTGGATGTCGCAAGGGTTTTTGAAGGTGTTTCACGTTCTCGCGTTTTCGGGCATCCGAGGCTCCAAGGCGGCCCGAGAGGCCACCGATATCGCCTCAAGGCGGCTCACCAGGCTCCCCAGAGGGCCCACAGGCCCGCAGACAGCCCCAGAGGGGCCCCAAGACGGCCCGAGAGGCCCCCCGCCAGGCGGCCCATGACAGCCTCAAGAGGGGCCCAAAGGGCCCCGAGCGGAGGAACTCCAACTGGCATTTCGCACCCTCTGCCGCCCCCGAGATCGCCAGCAGGCCCCCAAGAGAGGCCTCCAGGAGGCCCCCGAGAGGGGCCGACATCAGGCCCCAAGAGGTCCCCCGAGGGAAGCTCCCGTCGAGAGCGCCCTGGGACCGCGCGGTCACCCAAGAGAGCCCCGCGAGCTACAGTCAGCCCGCATAGTAAGGATTCCGATGTGCGTCCAGATTCAAATTTCGATTCGATTTCGATTCGGCTTGCGCGGCCGATTTGCAACCGATTTGATTTCGATGTCGATTCGATTCAGCAACCAGGCATGCCGATTCCGATTAGATTCGATGTCCACCCGATGCATACCGATTCGATGCCGATTCCGATTCGATGCGATGCTTCGATTCGATTGGACGCTGTCGCTGGCCGCGCCCTGCTCGTAGAGTGGCTGCATGGCCTTGCAAGGCCACTGCATCCTTATCGCGCGTCCACATTTCATGGAGGAGGCCAGCCGGCCGGTCACACGCGTGCCGAGGCCATTGGGGCATGCGTGTGCTGGCCTCTTCTTGGCCCTCCTTTCTCGCTCCACGCTCTTCGTTTCTCCTCGCTCTCTCCTCGCCCCTCGCCTCCCTCACCTCGCTCCTCTAATCCTTTCTTCTCGCACCCCCTCGCTCATTCCACCTCGGCCCTGGCCCCTCGCTCACTCCCCCTGACTACTAGCACCCACCTGCCTCTCTCGTTATCTGTGGCTTTCCCTCGTCTCCCGTCGCCTCTCTCCCTTCTGGGCCCTCCCTTCTCGCTCCTTGCTCCACGCTCCTCGCTCGTCGCCGCTCCCTCCTTGCTCCTCGCTTGTCTCTCCTCCGGAGCGACAGAAGGACGCTCACGCACATGGCATCCACGTTGGCTTCGAGAGTGCGCAGTGCGCGAGCGCTCGTCTCACGCGGCTGGTCTCGTGGACTGGGGGGCCGTGTTCATGTACGTGGTGGCGCGCTCAAGTCCTTTGTGGGCTCCCTGTGTCCTCGCTCCCGGCCCATCCCGTGCTCGCTCCTGGCTCCTCCCACCTCTCTCTATCGGCCCTTCGCTGCTCCCTCTTAGCTGCTGGCGTCTGCCCCCCCCTTCTCGTCGCCTCTTCCTCATCCCTCCTCGCGTCTCTCTCTCTCTCTATCTTCCTCTCTCTCTCTCTCTATCTTCCTCTCTCTCTCTCTATCTTCCTCTCTCTCTGCGCGGCGTCGGTACCAAAACAGCGAACCGCGCACCTCGCACCCGCCACGTAGCACGGACCGTGGCTAACAACACGCCCCCCACCACCCGCCCACATGCTCGCCGAAAATATCCCGCCATCTTCGTTGTCCGACACTGTTCCCCAGAAGCCTTCGGACGCCCCTTGCCTTGCGACGAGCCACCCCTGGACTCAATGAACCAAACGGAGAACACGGGTCCAAGCTTGCCTTACGCCTAAGCTCCTCGTTCCGTGCTGCTCAGAAGCAAGCGCCCCACAGCAACGTCCGAAACACCGCACCCGATGCACGGGATCGCAAGCTGCACACCACGTCGCACTGCAAGCAAAGGCGCCCACACCTCCACACTATTCCACCGAGATCCGAGCACACACCACGCTCCCACAGTGAACGCACAACAAGCATGCTCAGCATGCTCAGCATGCTCACCCTCAAACTTCCCGCACCCCTCACCCAACGCCGTCCGCCGAGCACCCGCCAAAGCGGTTGCCAAACTATCCCAGCCTTTTCGCGGCCCTGGCCGCGCACTACCGCTCCGCGGCGGTGGCCAAAACACGCCGTGATCTTGGTTGCCGGCGAGACGAGCAAGCAACGAAGCAAGCCAGGACGCACGTAGGCAAGCTGGCAGGTATGGTATAGGACACGCTGACCAGCATGCACGCATGAACGCTTGGAGAAAGCTGCTTAGCAAGCAGGTTAGCAGCCATGCGCGCATGGCAGCGGGCAAGCATGACATCATACAAGCGATTTGCACCCGTGCGCGCGAGTCAGCAAGCGTCGCCATAAGTCCACGAGACAGCCGTAGTCGGCTACATCGCTGCGGTCTGCTCGGATGAGAGATTTTGCGTGGCGGCATGCCCTGTCGCTGCCCAGCGAGATGTGGGGGTTCAACTTGGAGACGAACGAAAACAGGTACAACTTGTGCATCACAGCGTACGAGAGGTCGTCCCGCAACTCGGCAACATTCCCGGGCTATCATGGGATCGGTCTTTGATTTTCGTATGTCTTGTGAAGCACTGTGTGCGGGAACCTGCTGTGCAACCACTTACTGCGTGGACGGACATCCCTAATTTGAAGTTCGGAGAGCGAATTACGTCGCGCAGGAAGCCGCTTCGGATACGGATCCGTGCTCTGGTTAGTTACAGTGCTGGGATCAGCACGCGTGTGAGAGAGTGGAATCGTGAAAGCGGGCCCTGCCGCTGCAGAGCAAGATGTTCACGTCGAAGTTCCCGATGCCGACAGCCGCTCAGCGAGTTGCGGGCCGCGATGTCTTCCAAAGGCCATCTGTCCCTTAGTGGGCCCTGGAAGCGACAGGGCCGTTTTTTTACCGGTTCCGTTTTGCCGTTTTTTGCCGATTCCGACGCCGTTTTGTTACCGGTTCCGTCGCCGTTTTTTGACCGGTTCCGGCTCCAGTTCCAATCCTGGAGCCGTTTTTTTGCCGTTTCCGGTCGCCTTTTTTTTGCCGTTTCCATTTTCAAGGGACAATTTTTTGAAAACGGTGAAAAAACGGCCTTGCCGTTTCCGGGGCCCACTAAGATTTGTCCTACGATTCTGGGCGAACCGTGTGCCAGATATGAGCGCAGCGTGTTATCTCCCGGACCCCCGACACCGGCCCAGGACGCTCCAAGGACGCCCAAGGCGGCTCGCAATACGCGGTGCCCCGCACGAGGTGCCCTTGTGAGCCCACGACGCTCCAAAGAGAGTCTCACGACGCCCAAAAGCTTCTGCGATTGGTGCCTTCCAGAGACCCCGAGATGGTCCGCAGAGAGCATCGGAGAGGCCCAACTGGTCGTAATCCACAACGGTTCGTATGTGCTTCCTCTGATGTCGAGCGTCTTCACTCATTCAGCGTGAGATGGCTCCGAAATTCCCCCCCCCCCCACGATCTGGGTGGTTTTCAAGACGGCCCCAGAACTTCTCCAAGACGCACCCGCCCCACCCAGCACAGCGCCTCGCGGCCCCATAATAAGGGGATCCACCGGAGGCCCCGGTGGCGACGTCCGCACGCGTCCCCCCCCCGCCCCGCCCCTGGCCGCCCCAGCGCGCCCCCCAAGGAGGCTCCCTCCCAGCGCGCCCCCCGAGGCGGCAGCTCCAGCTGCCCCCAGGGGGGCGCCACGACCCAGCGGCCCTGACATGGGCCCAGACCGCGGAGGCCAAGAGAACCCTCCCAGTTCTACATGCACTGTGTCTTCGGGGGACCTCGCCTGTGCCCCCCAGCTTGGTGCTCTTCTCTCTCGTGCCCGCCGCGGGCTCGATGCGGCCTCGACGCGGATCTGGCGCGTGTCCGACGCGGTTTCGGCCCGGATTCGGCACGGATCCGACGAGGCCGACATCGACTCGACGCAGGCGCGACGCGGATAGGGCCGCGACGGGACAGGCAAGGTCCCCCGAGGGTGCAGCACAACCCAGGAGGGGTCAAAAGAGGAGACGGAGCCTCGGCCGCACGGCGAGGCGAGGCTATCCCGAAGCACCTCTGCATTGGCAGATGTCAGTGCTGGCTGCTCCGCGAGCGTCCCCTCTCCTTCCTCGCGTCTCCCTCCCCTCCTCGCCCCTCTCTCTTGGCTCCGCTGCTCCTCGAATGTTTCTCGTTGCTTCGCTTTTCCCGCCCTGTGGTCGTTCAAAGGCCTTGCAGGCTTCGCCGTGAACTAGATTGTAGTTTCATTAGTTTTGTCTGGTGTGCCGTGCTGCGTTGCATCCTACGTGCTGTGTCGCGGTGGGTTCGGGCCTCTCATACGTTGGGTCGTCCCGTGTCGTGGTCAAGCGTGCCCACCCGAATGTGGAATTAGGCTGTGTGCGGTGTGCTTGTCGTCCTTGCATGTGGCATGCGAGTAAATTTGCGTGGACGGCAGTCCACGGGTCAGCCCTGGTCTCTTCCATAATGCCGGAACCTCTGCGTGTGACAAGGTGTTGTGGATCAATATGTTTTTTGCTTCCGCGTGGCCCAGGGAGGCCGAAGAGAGCTGCTGGGGCAGCTTGGATAGCCCTGCGCGCCTCGGTCCGGTTCAAGAGTCGAATGGCCACCCTGCGAACTCGCAGGGTCCCTTGGAGAGAATTGCTTCAGTGGTAGAAGCTGAGTAACAAATCGAATCATTCGGCCGCAAGGATGCCTTTGATCGAAGGCTGCTGAGTACTTTCCCCTTTAGTGAGGGGTCCTTAATGAGGAAACCTTTAGTCGGCATTCGTTAGTAAGGACCCCTTGTGATGAGGACCCTTCAGTAACGATCCCTTCAGTGAGGAGTCCTTAGTAAGGATAGTTTTAGTGAGGATCCCCTCAGTAATGACCTGTAGTAAGGATTCATTCTTCATGCTTCCGTTCGCAAAGGGCCCTTTGGTAAGAATGTTTTTAGGGAGGCCCCCTTTGGGAGAATTCCTTTATTTTGTATTCTCTGGGTAGGGCACCCTGTAGCAATGATCCTTGATTACCACTTCCGTTAGTATTGGCTCTTTAAGATGGATGCGGGTTTCTGAGATAAGATACTTTTATATAAGGGATCTTCCGTGCGGATGCTTTTAGTGTTGCCTCCTCAGTGCGGATGTCTTTAGTAAAGGGTCTTTTTTAGTAAGGATTCCTTGGAATAAGGAATATTGTATAATACGTTATTGAATACGGTTTTTTTATCACATGTGTGCCTTTTTTATGAGGTCCTGAGTAAAGAAAGTCAGGATGAATTTGCGAGGTACCCCATCAGTAAGGGTTCCTGTTCTGAGGATTCGCATTTCAAGCTTCCTTTAGTAAGGGACGCTTGGTCATGATGCCTTCAGTAAGGGGTCATTTGGGATAATGCTTCTAACAAAGCCTCTTTAGGGATGATTCCTTTAGTAAGTTCACTCTCGGTAAGGGCACCTGTAGTAATAGTCCTTGCCGTCCTTCAGCACTTGTTCATGATGAAGAAGGAAACGGGCTCCAGGCCGAGATGTTTTCTTTGGGGATCCTTAGTACGGATGTTTTGGTGTTTTTAGTGCGGCCTCCTTTGAGGGGCTGCCTTTAGTAAGGGCCCCCATCAGTAAGGACCCCCTGTAGTAAGGACTCCTTTGTATGACTTCCTGTAGTCAGTGTTCCTTACTATGGATGCCTCCTGTAAAGGGTCCTGCGTACGGGCTCGTCTGGAACGGGTTCCTTCGTCACAAAGGTGTCTAGGAGGGTGGCGGGGGCAACCAAAAAGAAACAGACACTTGACAAAGTGTGTATCAAACTGTCTTCTTCCCCCCCCCTTTGGCCACCACCACCGCCACTGGACTGCGACTGTGGGAGCAGATGCGGTCCCCGCCGAAGGACAGGGCCTAGGCTGTGGCATGCGTCCAAAACTAAGGGGGTCTTTATTCAACACTCCTTTCGTGAGAGATGCTGACTACAGATTTCTTTGGTACCCAGTCATTCGAAAGGGTGCCTTTTTATCAAGGCGTCCTTCGTGGGGGTTCTTGTGAGAATGCCTTTTCGTGCGCGTCCGTTCGTAAGGGTGCCTTCATGAAAGGACCCTTCGTAAGGATCCCCATCAGTGAGGAGCCCTTCGTGAGGATACTGTTCGTATATATCCTCTCAGTAAGTCTCTGCGCAGCAAGGACTCACCGCTCATTTGTCCTTTAGTGAAGGTCCTTTGTAATTAATGCCTTTAGTCTGAGATCCGTCGTAAGGATCCCTTCAGTGAGGAGCCTTTAGCGAGGATACCTTTAGTGAGGTCCCTCTCGGTAGCGACACTCGTAGTAAGGACTCAAGGGTTCTTTGGGTGAGCCGGTGGAATTGTCTGGCTCTGCACTCAGCATCCCAGTCGCCGCCGTCGTCGTAGTCGTCGTCGTGGTCGTCCTTCGAGGGGTGGAAGAACAAACAGCACACTTCTTTTTTGTTATCCCTCCCCCTCCCCCGAACCGCCAAGCAGCACTGCTCTGGGATTTGGGTCACGCCAACGAACTTTGCGCCGATACAACAAATCCGGGGCGGCCTCTTCTATGAGAGCCTCAAGGCGGCCCAGCACGGCCGCAGGACGGCCCAAGAAGTACAGCAGGGTGACCCACAAGGACTTCATAACGGCACCAAGAACGGCGCAGTACGACCCCAAACCGTCCCCCGAGGCGCCCAGTAGAGTTTCAGTCGGTCACACGACGGCCCAAGTAGCTGCCAAGGCGGCCCATGAGGACCCAAAGAGACCCCAACGAGGCCGTCAAAAGCCCCCACACAGCTTCAAAACAGTCCCGAAAGGCCACACTCGTTCCATTTTTTTTCTCGGAAAACGTGCATGTGTTGGTATCGTTGTTTTTTGTGCCGCCTCCACAGCGTTCCAGCAGGTCCTCCAGGACCCACAACATTTTCCAAGACAGCCACAGATGCCTCCATGAGAGCCCCTAGTCTGCCCAAGACGGCCCCAGTACGGTCCGAGAAGCGCCCAAGCCGGCCCAAGAGGGCCCCAAGAGGGCCCCAAGAGGGCCCCAAGAGGGGGAGCTCGAACTGACATTTCGCACCCTCCGCCCCAAGATTACTTCAGAGACCGCCAGCAGGCCCCCAGGGGGCCTCCCAGCAGCTCCAGGAGGCCTCCAAGATGTCCAAATGAAGCCCCAAGAGGGCCCTGAGAGGCCCCAAGATGCCCCCCCAAACCGCCTCGAAGAGGCTTCCGAGAGAAGATCCCTTAGAGAGCTCTGTGACCGCGCCGGCCACCCCAAGAGAGCCCCATGAGCGACCGAAGATGGGGACCAGATGTTCAGCCACACGCGCGCCGATGCCATTGAAGCATGCGTGTGCTGGCCTTCTATCACGCCGTCCTTCTCGCTCCACGATCCTCGCTCCTCGCCGCTCTCTCCTCGCCCCTCGCCTCCCTCTCCCTCGCTCCTGGTTCCTCCCTTCTCACTCCTCATCGCTCTTTCCACCTGTCTCCTGGCCCCTCGCTTCCCCCTCCTCGCTGCTGGCGTCTGCTTCCCCCCTCCTTTTTCGGCTCTTCCCTATACCTCCTCGCCTCTCTCTCTCTCTCGTCCCTCCTCGGCCGCTGCTCTTCCCTTCTCGCTCCGTGCACCTCGCTGATCGCTCCTCGTCTCCCACGCCTCCAAACTCGACCCTGACCCATCGCTCCTGGCTCCTCGCTCCACTCACGAGCTGCAGGTTGCATCATCTAGCAAGGGCACCAGGCAACAGCACTCTGCAGCCTCAAGCAGCAGCAGCGAGCACCAGCAGTCCGCAGCAGGCAACGGCACCACAGCAAGTGTAAGCAGCAACAAACAATCCGCAGGCAGTAGAGTAGCAGCAGTTTGCAGCTGCAGGCAGCAACAGCGGAGGCGAAGTTCGGGGCCACTGTCATCACGAACGCCTTGCAGCAGCATCTCTGCCCTGGTCCAACGTGCCATCTCGGACGGATCTCGTGGCCGGTAGGCCACGGGCCAGGCCTGGTGTCTCCTACAGCGCAGGGATCAGCGCGTGCCGGAAGTGCGCGCAGTGGCAGCGGGCTTTGGTGCTGCTCTGCGAGATGCGGGAGGCGAAGTTGGAGCCAAACGTTACAGTGGAAACCCATGCCAAGAAATACCCTGCTTGCCTCCAGAGTGCCCTGGGTTTCTTGGGTTTCGATGGTTTTGCTGTGGAGAGCGCGACGCACCCTTTCCAACGATCACTGGACGTCCTGGGGCCTCAGGGCTGGGCTTCTTGTGGGAGGTTTCTCGTGGTCGAGCGCCTACTCTGAGAACCGTTCTGGGGTGAAGAATAATCTGGGGGGGAGGGGGGGCCTTGTAGCCCGGGGGAGGGGCCCTCGAAGTCGGGTGGGGGGGGGCGCCCTGTAGTCCGGGGGAGGGGCCCTCCCGGTACTCCGGGGGAGGGGCCGGGGGTCCCAGGGGGGGCCTCGCAGTCCGAGGGCGGGGGGGGCGGGGCCTCGTTGCCCTCCGAGGGCTGGAAGCCTCGGCCCCGCGCCCGCCGCGGGGGCAGCGCGTGCACGTGCACTGCCCGGGGGGCAGCGCCGGGGGCTGCAGGCGGTGTTCCAGCGACGTGCGCCATGCAGAGGGCTGCGCAGTGCCGGGGGCAGCGCGCGCGGCATATATGTGCGCCAGGAGTGGCAGACCCCAGGCGGGGCCGAGGATGGGGGGGGCAGGGAGGGAGGGTGGTGGGGAGGGAGGGAGGGGAGAGGAGGGAGGGAGGAGGAGGGGGGGGAGGGAGAGAGGGGAGGTGGGGAGGGAGGGGGGGGGGAGAGGGAGGGGGGGAGGGAGGACGGGGGCAAGAGGGGGGGGGGGCAACAGGGGGAGGGGGGGGAGGGAGGGAAGGGGGGGGGCGAGGCCCGCCGGGGGGAGCCCTCCCGGCCGCGGCCGGCCTCCTGCAGGGCAGCATTCCAGGACGGCCCAGGCTGGCCTTCGGTCGGGCATGCCCTCCTGCAGGGGAATTTCGGGCGAAAAATTTAAAGTAGTCCAACAATAGTCCAAAATGGAGGAAAGCAGTCAAGAGATCTTCCCCGGATGATTTGTCTGGACTATTTTTGAATCTTCCTCCTGTAGAGGGACGCGCCCGACTTAAAACTGGCCTCCAAGACTGCCCCGGAGGGGCCGAGAGGTCCCCAAGCTCACGCCTCCAACAATCCAGGGAGAGAAAGCCACCCGGGCCTGGCAATTGGCGTTTACTAAAACGGCTTTGGGCGTTTACTGAAAAGCCCTGTCCTGTTCGATTCCTTCCCTTGTTGCGTTTACTCAACGGCTTCGCTTGTCGGGGAGCATTATGAGGGTGAATGTTTTGCATTTTCAACACGGGCCAACATGGCACCAAGACGACCTGCATCCCTCCTCGGAAGCAAACGCAAGCTTTCCCCGCGACGTGGCGGCGCCCCAGAACCCCAACGTTTCAAGGCTCGCGCCGAAAGTGGTGGCTGCAAACACAACAGTCTAACCCCGACTCGGAGTCCTCTGGGACCGTCTTGCGGCACTCACTCCTGGCAGCGTCTCTGGGCCAGCTTGAGCCGTGCTGGGGGCGTCTTTAGGGGTCAAAAAGTCCACCCCCATAAGAACCACCCCGACACGCAGAAGTCGTTTAGTCGACGCGCCCAATGAAGGAATCGAACAGGGCAGGGCTGTTGAGTAAACGCCCAGGGCCGTTTAGCAAACGCCGATTATCGGGTCCGGGTGGTTTTTACTCCCTTGAGTCTTGGTCGAACTTGGTGAAGGGGCCCTGGGACACACAAATAAATACACACAAATAAAAATATTCCCAATATTTTCCCATATTTTGTGGGTTTCTGTCTTCCTCCCCACTGCCCATATTTCCCTCTATTTTCCTGGGACTCGACGGTTAATTGTGTCTGTGAGTTTTTTGGCCTTGGGCTGCCTCGGAGGCCGCCTGCGGCGCGGTGGGCCGCACCTTGGAGACGCCACGGGGGGCCGCGCGGGCCCCCTGCCGGGGCCCTCCTGGGCTCGGGGGCCTTCTGACCCCGGTCCATCCAGACCCGGGTCGGGCAGGCCTTGCAGAATTTTTTTTTCTTGATGAAGACACAGCAGCTGAGGGCCCCTTAAACGCGACCCGGGGGCGAGGAGCCACCCAGACATTCGGCGACAGCCGAACTATGGTACCAGTCCTCTACTCCAAAGCGTTCTGACAGAGCCTGCTGAATACGACATCGTTACAGGCAGGCCAATTGCAGAATCCTGCAGGATCCTGCCAGATCCTGCACCCAAGCCCGAGTCCACGCGAAGGATCCTGCAGGATCCTGCAGGATCCTGCACCCAGACCCGGGTCAGTGCGACCCTGGCCCTGCAGGATCCTGCAAGGTCGGGCGCTCTGGCTGACCCCCGTTTGCATTGACCCCCGACTCAAGGCCCTCGATGGGCCGTTCCTGAAACTCCGCCGGAGGCCGTTTGGAGCCGTCTTGGAAGCCGCTGGGGCCATCTTGCGCGCCGGCGGCGCGAACAAACGGAGAAAGCCGACATCCTCCCAAAACCGTTCGAAATAACTTTCGGCCTCCCCGGGCGCCCCTGGAGAGGCCCTTGGAGCCTTCCTGGGCGAACCCGGAGGCCTGCAGAGCAGTCTTGAGGCAGTCGGGCAACCCTCCCCGGAATCAAACACAAGCTCTTAATGCTGATCGACGCGCGGAACGCGGCCCGTGGCAAGAGGGCTCCAAGAGGCCCGCCTGGGTCCGAAGAGGCCGAAATCAGAATAAAAGATTCGGTCAGTTTTTGGAATGTTTCAGCTTTCTCGAGTTCTTGCGCCTCCTACGGCCCAAGACGGCCCCGGTGGCTTCGAAATTGACACATCATACCCCCGTGTCCCAGATAATGCGGGGTCCCCCAAATTTGTCCCCCAGTTTGGTTATCTCCGGCCTAAGCCTTTTTGGTTCGCGGGGGTGGCGGGGGGGCCGAACTGTTTCATTCACGGAGCCAAATACCAATCGTAGTTGTAATCTATTTGTCATGAGCATCATCATCACCATCATCATCATCATCATCATCATCATCATCATCATCATCATCATCATCATCATCATCATCATCATCACCATCATCATCATCATCATCATCATCATCATCATCATCATCACCATCCACATCACCACCATCACCATCACCATCACCATCACCATCACCATCACCATCACCATCACCATCACCATCACCATCACCATCACCATCACATCATCACCATCACCATCATCGCCATCATCACCATCGGTATCAGCATGATCAGCATCATCATCTCCGTCGTCGTCGTTGCCGCCGTCGTCATCCTACAATCTCTCAGGCCTCGCGCTCCCCCCACCCCTCCGGGGGAGGCCCCGCCAAAGCGAGCAGGGCATGCTTGTACTATTCTGTCTCTCGGGTCTCGCGCTCCCCCCACCCCTCGGGGGAGGCCCCGCCAGAGCGAGCAGGGCATCCTTGTGCGATTCTGTCTCTCAGGCCTCGCGCTCCTCTCCCGCCCCCTCCCGGGGAGGCCCCGCCGGAGCGCGCAGGGCGGCGAGGGTGCCCCCGCGTGGGCCCGCGAGTGCACCCGCACATCCTTGCATCGCACGGCCGGAAACTGCGGAGCCTGCTTCGGCACTCCGTGCATCCGCACACGCCTTGGCATCGCTCGGACGTGTGATTTTTTTCTCGGCGAGAACCATCGAGGACCATCCTGGACCAGCGAGCAACAAAAAACACGCACGACACCCAAACATGCACAGGGAATGGACGTCCGAGCGATGGCAAGTCCTCACATCGTTCACCCGTAAGCTGCGGAGCGTGTTTCGGCACTTCGTACACCCGCACACGCCGAGCGCCGTACCTCCGCACGCCGTGCATCCGAAAGGGTGCGATCGTCGCACGCTTCTCATTCCAAGGGGGGCTCAGGCTTGAAGCTGCCCCCCCCCCACTCCCTTGGAAAAGGGGGGGGGGCGGGCTTCAGAAGGTGCCCCCCTCCCTTCCTTCTGGCGTCATTTCGGAGCTAGGGGGGCCCTAGCCAAGGGGGGGGGGTCTTCAAAGCTATTCACCACCCCTTTTTTTTCCGGAGCCCAAGGTCAGCCTGGGCTTCCCTTTCAAATGGGGGCAGGGCTTCGGAAGCTACCCGCTCCCTCCTTTACGCAGCTGAGATTGTCTTGCCAAAGGGGGGAGCGGCTTGAAAGCTACCACTCCTTCTTTTCCAGAGCCCATGGTCCGCTCGGGCTTCCCTTCAAAAGGGGGGGGGGGCTTCGGAAGCTCCCCCCCTCCTCCCGATCGCAGCTGAGATTGCCTTGCCAAGGGTTGGGCTTCAAAGCTCCCCCCCTCCATTCATGTCTGGAGCCCACGGTCAGCTCAGGCTTCTCTTTTAAAGGGGAGCAGGGCTTCGAAAGCTCCCCCCGGCCCCCCCCCCATCCTTTACGCAGCTGAGATTGCCTCCTTGCCAAGGGGGGGGGCTTCAAAGCTACCCGCCAAGGGGGGCTTCAAATCTACCCCCCCTCCCTTCGTTTCTGGAGCCCACGGTCAGCCCAGGCTTCCCTTTCAAAGGTGGGGTCTTCGGAAGCTGCCCCCCGTCCTCCATTTCGAGCTGAGATTGCCTTGCCAGGGGGTGGGGGGGGCTTCTAACCTACCCCCCCTCCTCCATTCCCCGAGCCCAAGGTCAGCCCAGGCTTCCCCTTCAAAGGGGGGGCACCCTCCCTTGGGAGTGTGCGACGGGCGCGCTCTCTCGTACATCCGCATATCCGCACATGCGAATTATAGGGAAAAATGCTTGCTATCCTCCCAGGGCCCCGAACTTTATTATCCCCTGGGTGTGATTATTTGGGGAACCCGGTTAGCTTGAGATGCCCCAGAGACGAGCCCAAGAGGGCCCCAACATGGCCCCAGAGGCCCCCGTGACGTCTCCAAGGCAAGGATCCCCTGCCGAATCGCTTGCGAGCATGCCCCACGGGTGCACACTAGTCCCTACTACATTGCAGGGCCCAGTGCGTGCCAGAAGGGCGCAGGCTCCATTAACTCATAATCGCCCCGGGCTGGCCCCGGGCCGCCCCGGGCCGCCCCGGGAGGCCCCAAGACGCGCCAAGGAAGCCCCAAGAGGCCCCCAAGACGGCTCCGGAGGGCCCCGGCACGCCCCAAGATGGGCCCAAGACGCTCAAGATTCGCCCCAGGCGGCCCAAGAGGCGTCAAACACGCCCGAAGAGGCCTCCCAAGAGGCCTCCCAAGAGGGCCCCGAGCGACAGAAATCGTCGATTTCTATTGTGTTTTTCGATGTTTTCGTGTGTTCTTCGATGTTTTCGGCCTCCTCGCCTCGTCGGCTTCCCGACGCTCCAAGACGGCCCAAGAAGCCCCCCCGACCGCTCCAAGACGGCCGAAGAGGACCCCAAGAGAGCCCCAAGACGGGCCAGGAGGGCCCCCAGACGATCCCAAGACGCCCCAGGACGGCCCCAGGACGGCCCAGGAGGCGCCCAAGACGGCCCAAGAGGCACCCAAGACGACCCCAGGAGCGGCCCAAGACGGCCCACGACAGCCCAAGAGGCGCCGAGGCGGGTCTCAGACGGCCCCAAGACGGCCCAAGAGGCACCCAAGACGGCCCGAGAGGGCCCTAAGAGCCCCCCCGGGAGGCCCAAACGAAGGCCGAAGAGGCTCCGAAACGGCCCCCACGAGCCGCCGCCGTGTTTGTAGATTTTCGGTACAATCTGCGCCGTTCCTCCGAGAACCATTCCAGAAAGATGTCGTGGACGGAGTCCACGGGTCAGCCCTAGTCTCTACTACATTGCAGGGCCCAGTGCGTGCCAGAAGGGCGCAGGCCCCAATGCACCGAAACCGCCCCGGGCTGGCCCCGGGCCGCCCAGGCAGGCTCCAGGACATGTCGAGAGGGCCCCCAGAAGCCCCCAAGACGGCCCCGGAGAGCCCCGGCACGCTTAAAGATGGGCCCAAGACGCCCGAGAGTCGCCCCAGACGGCCCAAGAGGCGTCCAAGACGCCCGAAGAGGCCTCCCAAGAGGCCTCCCAAGAGGGCCCCGAGCGACAGAAATCGTCGATTTCTATTGTGTTTTTCGATGTTTTCGGCCTCCTCGCCTCTTCGGCTTCCCGACGCTCCAAGACGGCCCAAGAAGTCCCCCCGACCGCTCCAAGACGGCCGAAGAGGACCCCAAGAGAGCCCCAAGACGGGCCAGGAGGGCCCCAAGACGGTCCCAAGACGCCCCAGGACGGCCCAGGACGGCCCAGGAGGCGCCCCAGACGGCCCAAGAGGCACCCAAGACGGCCCCAGGAGCGGCCCAAGACGGCCCAAGACAGCCCAAGAGGCGCCGAGGCGGGTCTCAGACGGCCCCAAGACGGCCCAAGAGGCACCCAAGACGGCCCGAGAGGGCCCTAAGACCCCCCCGGGAGGCCCAAAACGGCCCCCACGAAGCCTTCAGTGGCTTCAGAATTCCCTCCAGGAGCGGGGGAGCGGACGAGAGGCGACAGGCATGTCGCATGCAAAAACGCCCCAAGAGATCCCCAAACAACTCCCACCAAGCCCTACGTGGCCTCAGAATTGCTTCCAGGAGGGGGGGAGCGGACGAGAGGCGACCGGCATATCGAAGGCACAAAAGAACAATGTTGGACGCTCCGAGTGCCTTCGATGTTTCTTTGTTGGGGAGAGTCGTCGTAGGATCGACGATTGCCGACCGAGGGCATGGAGAATCCAGCGAAAGAGGAGAAGAAGGTGGAAGAGGAGGAGGAGGAGGAGGAGGAGGAGGAGGAGGAGGAGGCGGAGGAGGAGGAGGAGGAGGGGGAGGAAGCAGCAGGACCTCCGAGCAGCAGCAGCAGCTGAGGAACACAGGAGAGCAGGAGGTCCTGGAGGGTGTGGAGAGCGCCTTCAACTGGCCACGTCGAGCTGATGTCGTGGACGGAGTCCACAGGTCTGCCCTAGTCTGCTACAGCGCTGGCATCAGTGCGTGCGAGAAGGGCGAGCAGTGGCAGCCGGCGCTCGCGCTGTTGAGCGAGATGCGGGAGGCGAAGCCGGAGCCCAACGTCATCTATCCGACAATGCTGGGAGCAGCGCGTGGTGCGCTGCTCTGGTGGCACCGCCTGGGGAGGGCTTGCCGGGAGGGCCCGCCAGGAGGGTCCGCGCCTCCCAGACGGCCCAAGCGAAGCCAAGAGGTCCCTAAGTTCGCCGAAGATGCTTCCAACACGGCCGAGGATGGCCTCAGGATTGCCCAAGATGGCGCCCAGACGGCCTCAGAGGACCCCAAGGTAGCCCAACACGACCTCCAGACGGCCGAAAAGCCTTCCAAAAGCCCCCCAGGGCGCTCCAAGAGCACTCCCAGCAGGGCCTTCCAGTGCAAACAAAGTTTTGTTTTGCACGTTTTCCTTACATATTCAGCATCTATTAAGACTTTTGGGCACTTGCGTCCACGACGGCCCAACAGCCCCCAAGATCGCCCCAAGCCCGCCCATGAGGCCTCCAAAGAGAATCCCAAGGCGGTCCATGCGAGAGCCCCAAGACGGCCCAAGAACCCCCCAAATCCCAAAACAGCCTATGAGGCGCCCAAGACGAACCAAAGATAGCCCAGAGATAGCCCACCAGAGCCCCAGGTGCATCCCAAGACGGCCCCAAGAGCGCTCCCACAGAGCCCCAAGAGGTCCCCCAACGGATGCTACAACGTACCCCGCTTTTGTAACATCTCTCGGGTGCTCGCCCCGTGCAAAAAATCGAGGGTTCTTCTGTATGCTTACAAGAACATGTTTAGCAGACACGACTTTGGGGCCCTTGCAGCGTCCACGACTGTCTAACAGCCCTCAGGATGACCCCAGTTCAGCCCAAAAGGCCCCCCCCCAGAGATCCCCAAGGCGGCTCGAGAAGGCCCCAAGAGTGGCCCAAGACGGCCCAAGAGGCGCCCAAGACGACCCAAGATGGCACAGAGATGGCCCACCAAAGCCCCAGGTGTGTCCCAAGACGGCCCCAAGAGCGCTCCCAGATAACCCAAAGAGGCCTCCCAACGGATGCTACATCGTACCCCGCTTTTGTAGCATCTGTCGGGTGCTCTCCCAGTGCAAACATCGGGTTCTTCTGTATGCTTACAAGAACATGTTTAGCAGGACACGACTTTTGGGCCCTTGCAGCGTCCACGACTGTCTAACAGCCCCGAAGATCGCTCCAAGCTAGCTCAAAAGGCCCCCCCCCCAGAGATTCCCAAGGCGGCTCGAGAGGGCTGCGAGAGCGGCCCAGATGGCCCAAGAGGCGCCCAAGACGACCCAAGATGGCACAGAGACGGCCCACCAGAGCCCCAGGTGCATCCCTAGACGGCCGCAAAAGCGCTTCCAGATAGCCCGAAGAGGCCCCTCAACGGATGCTATCGACGGGCGCTTTCTGGGAGCCCTCTCGGGGTCGTCTTGTCGAGGCACCTTGGGGCAATGTTCGAAGTCTTTTAGGTGCTTCCACAACCTCCTTCAAGGCTGCAGGACGGCCCAAAAAGAGCAGCAAGGCAGCCCAGGGAAATCACGCGACGGCCCAAGACGGCCGCCCAAGGACGACCCAGGATGGCCCAGAGCTGGCCCCGCCGCGCTCCCCTGCCAGGGCATCTGCAGATTTGCTCCACGGGTGCACGCTGGCCAGCTGCAAAACTACAACGCCGGCGGCGCCGCGTGTGGGAAGGCCCGGGGCGCCATGGCCCCAAATCGCCCCGGCCGGCCCGGGCGCGCTCCCAGGCGGCCCCCTGGGACGCGACGCCTCCCGACGGCTGCAGGGTGACCCCAAGACGGCTTGCGGTGGCCCCAAGAGGGCTTCAGACGGCCCCAAGACGGCTTCCAGACGCTCGGAACGCCCCCAGAGCCGCTCCAGAGGCTTCCAAGACGCCTCCAGAGGCCTCGAAGAAAGCTGCCCAGAGGGCCCCAAGAAGCAAGCATCGTCCCAATCCCTTCAGAAAGCGTACATTTCTAACATTCGCACGCTTCTCGTTTCCACAATGCTCACTACGGCCCTACTACCCTCAAAGCTTGTCCGAAGACGGCCCCGTAGGCCCCCCAGAGGGCCCAACGACGCCCAACGACAGCTCCAAGACGGCCCAGAGGGTGCCCAAGAGGGCCCAAAAGGACCCCCGGTGGGCCCGAAGTACGGTCCAAGACGGCCTGAAGCAGCCCCAGCCCGAGAGCCACCCGAGACAGCCCCACGACAGCCCATAAGGCACCCAAGGCGGCCCCAGAGGCCCCCCAGAGGCCGAACGGATCCACAAGAGGCCCCCGAACCGCTTCCAGAAGGCTCCCAGAAGGCTTCACAGCTGCTCTCTAGACGTGGGCAGCGGACGAGAGGCGAGTGGCTCATCGCACGCTTCGAAGGAGTTGCTATCCACGCTCCGAGGGCCCTGTGCCACGCTACAATACCGGGCCCAGCGCATGCCAGGAGAACACATCGGGTCCGCGCCCTCCGGGCCCGCGGCCGCGGCGCCTCGCTGCGGCCAAGAGACGCCCAACCTACCCCGGGAGCCCCCAACAGAGCCCCATACGACGGCCCCAGGGGCCCTCCAGACGGCTCTGGGGACTCCCAAGACGGCCGAACAGCCTCCCGAGACTGCCCCAGGGGAGGCCCAAGAGGGCCAACTCTGGAGCTCATCACCCCCCTCCCGCCCTCTTCACGGCCAGCAAGCCCCCAAGAAGCCCCCAAGAAGCCCCCCGATGCTCCAAGACGGCCTCTGGGGCACTCCCCAGAGGTTCCCGCAAATCATCCAGCAGCTCCCTAGAAACGGCTCTAATATGTTCCTACTCTTACACGGCCCCAGTTGACTAGAACAAGTGGTACCCCGCGGGCTCCTCGACGGCCTCCAGCAGCTCCCACCGAACTGCTCCGATAGGCTCCCAGACAGCACCAGCTCATGGGAAAACCATACCCCGCACCTCTTGGGAAACCTATCGCGCGGGAGGGGTTGCAGAAAATAGCTGTCAGATCCAGCTGCGGCCACAAGGGAACATTGCTTCTGCGACCCCTCCCAGTGTGGGATGTGGTGATTTCTAATCATCGTGGGCTTCCTCCTTCCCCTCCGCATCGTCGCTCTCCTCCGTCACATGTGCTCCTGCCAGCGTAGTCGGAACCGGCCGACCTCCTGTAGGGGCAGGAGGAGGAGGAAGACGAGGAAAAGGAGGAGGAGAAGGATGAGGAGGGGGAGGAGGAGAAGATGGAGGAGGAGGACGAGGAGGAGCACGAGGAGGAGCAGCAGGAGCCGAAGGACGATGACAGGCCAAGCGCGACGACAGAGGAGGATGAGGAGGAGGAGGAGAAAGATCATGATGATGATGATGATGAGGATTTTGATGATGATGATGATGATGATGATGATGATGATGATGATGATGATGTTGCTAATGATGATGTTGATGCTGATGATGCTGATGATCATGGTGGTGGTGATGATGATGGTGATTATGATGATGATGATGATGATGATGATGCTGATGTTGATGCTGATGCGAATGCTGATGATGATCATGCTGATGATGCTGATGATGATGATGCTGATGCTGATGCTGATGCTGATGATAATGATGCTGATGATAATGATGCTCATGATGATGATGATGATGATGATGATGATGATGATGATGATGATGATGCTGATGCTGATGACGATGATGATGATGATAATGCTGCTGCTGATGATGATGCTGATGATGCTGATGACGATGATGGTGGTGATGATGTAATGATGATGATGATGATGATGATGATGATGATGATGATGATGATGATGATGATGATGATGATGATGATGATGATGATGATGATGATGATGATGATGATGATGATGATGATGATGATGATGATGATGATGATGATGATGATGATGATGATGATGATGATGACGATGATGCTGATGCTGATGCTGATGCTGATGCTGATGCTGATGCTGATGCTGATGCCGCTGATGATGCTGATGATGCAGATGACGATGATGGTGGTGGTGGTGATGATGCTGCTGCTGCTGATGTTGATGCTGCTGATGATCATGGAGAAGGAGGAGCAGCAGGAGGAGGAGGATGAGGACGAAGCAAGCACGAGGAGGAAGAACGGGCGGAGGAGGAGGAGGAGGAGGAGGAGGAGGAGGAGGAGGAGGAGGAGGAGGAGGAGGAGGGGCTGCTGCTGTTGCTACTGCCCATGCCCCTGGATCTGCTGCCGCTGATACTGCTAGCGCTGCCCGGGATACCGTCAGAATCATGAAGCAAATAGCGCACCTTGAAGCAATGAGCAGAAGCACGGGCACTCTGACCACTGGCATTCGTGGACGGTAGTCGACTGGCCAGCCCTAGTCCATGCTCTAACGCCGTGGGAGCCGCGTGCCAGAATGGCGGGGGACCCAGAGGGGCAAAACCGCCCTCGGGCCAGCTCCTGGCCGCCCCAGGCCGCCCAGAGAAGACTGCAGACGGGCCAAGAGGCCCCAAGACGCCCCCAAGACGGCCCACAGACGGCTCCGAGCCGCTCAAGAGGCCGCCTCGACGGCCCCAGAAGCTCCCAAGGCAGGCCAGGAGGCTCCCAAGACGGCCCTGGAGGACCTCCCAGGAGAGACCCAAGAGGCCAACATTTCCCCATTCCCTTTGGAAAACGCGCATTTGGGGCATTATCGTGCTTTTCGTTTCCGACGCGTCCACGACGGCCATAGAGACCCCCAATATCGCCCTAAAATGCCCCCATGAGGGCCCCAAGACCGCCCACGACGACCCCAGGACGGCTCCTGAGGCGCCCCTGGCGGCCCACGTGGTACCAAAGACAGCCTCAAGAGCGGCTCAGGACGGCCCAGGACGACCCCCCGACAGTGCCCAGACTGCTCCAGAGACGCCCACGGCGGACCCAGGCAACCCCCAGGCGGCCCCGAGAACGCCTCAGATAGCCTGCAGCCGGCCCAAGAGGCTTCCAAAACGCTCCAAGTGGGCTCCACGACGAGCCCCAAGAGAGCCCGAACACTGAAAAATCGTCTCGTTCCTTCGGGAAAACGTACACTTTGGCAGTTCCTG